TCTGTATCAAGAATTGCCAGGGCCCCCGTTGGCGAGCGTACCCGCCGTCTCCCTCGTGCCACTCAAGCTCGTCGCTGGACAATCTTACCAGCTATCTCAATGTCAGGACTGGTTGCACTCCAAGTGATTGAGGGTGGTTTCAATCGGGTCCGATTTGAAGATTATTTGGAATTCCACTTGGTACGCTTGTGGCTTAGTTTTTTTGCCTTTCCGCAACTAGTAAACTGATTTCCTATTTCATCTTGTCAAGTTACCTTTCATGAACGCATGGCCAGCACGTGATTCGGTCCTTGTGATGGACAACGCACCAATCCATCACGGTGGTCGGATTGCTGAACTCTGTGCCGCACGTGGCGTCCGACTTATCTATCTTCCGGCTTACAGTCCTGACTTCAACCCCATCGAGAAGGGGTTCTCACCTTTGAAAGCACGATTGCGACGGTTAGGGGTCTTACATCAGGATTTGACTAGGGACGAGGAGCAGGCTTGCATATGGGAGGCCTGCATCAATAATTTTACTGAACAACTCACTTGCTCTCTTTTCCGTGGGTGTGGTTATATTTAGAATTTTTCTTAACTTGGTTTTCATTTGTCTAAGTCTTTCTATTCCAATGTGAGCTGAGTGTTTATCAAGTAGAACTGGTTTTGAAATACAAACAAACAAGATTCAGCAATTATCTTACAATTTATTTGTGTCAATTCATCCAATTTCTTCCTCACTGAACACTTGCCTAAAATGAGACAACTTGAGCCACTTTACAGAATGATAAAGATCCTTCATCAAAGAAGAACAACTTAGAGGTTTCAATTTTGTTTTCGGTGTTCGTTTTAAGAAATATGACATCCATTTGATTTGAATCCCTAGTTGTGATTCTATTAATTCAAATAATCTAATCGGTATTTTTGATTGTTCTCAAAGAACGATAGTCGTGTCAAAGATTTAAAGACATCGATAATGATGAACAACTATGCAAGAGAACGCACAGTTTGAAAAGATTCAAAGATATCGATAATAATGAACAACTATGTAAGAGAACGCACAGTTTGACAACATTCAAATATATCGATAATAGTGAACGACTATCGACTATCGTTCTTTGATTGTTCTCAAAGAACGATAGTCGTGTCAAAGATTCAAAGATTTTGATAATAAAGAACAACGATTGACTATTGTTCTTGGAGAACAATCAAAGAACGATAGTTGTTTTAGGTTTTCAGGATATTGTTTCTCACTTGATCTAATCAATTTGCTCACGGATCTCTCAAGACTGGGCTCAATGGCTTTGATGGGGAAGAATACCAACATTTTTCTGATTTCAAAGGTAGGATATTACGATATCTTTTTAGGGGACTACGAAAAGAGCCAATTTAAACAAGTTTTGTATATTTTTGAGATAATTGAACTCTATCCAGCACAAAGGGTTTGATAGCATCAAGTAATTAGGATTGTTTTTTTACTGACTTTTGAAAGCGCGCTGAAAACATCAGTGGGAGATGGTCAGTCCGATATTTTTCACCAACGAAATGATTTTAAGCCATAAGGGAAACAACTTACCCAATATGCTTGCTTGACGCGCACTTGCTGCTGCAAGTAGCATTCCAGCAGCAATTTTGTCAATTCCCAAAGCCATCACAGACGATTCGGTCACTGAGATTGAGGGTAATAGATCAGTCCAGGTTTTGATTCCTGCGTTAAAAAGTACATTCCTGATTTCATCAACAGGTTGTTTGATACCGGCGGAAGCCAAAAACTTGTCAAAGGGTGTTGGCCTGCCCGTAATGATCTCGATATCCTCTGAGCTCCAGATATCATCGGAAGTGTGGACATCAGACACTTTGGTTTCATCCTCGATATCTGAGGATGCAGCTAGGTCAATGAAATTCTTTTTGGAAAATGACGGGTCAATATGTGATTGATGATGCTCGCGGCCTGATGTGTAAATAGCATTTGTGATTAGCATAGTAAGGAGTTTGCTCGATGATAAATCAAAGGAACTCACCTGGGGCCAACTTTATTTGTGATTTTGAGTCGGGAGTTTTGGTCAAAGCTGGTAATCGCATATCCAAGTTGGTCTTTTTCCCACGAGTTGAAGGGGATTCTTCAGTGGCTTCACGTTGACGCTGAAATTCAGCCGAATGAATCTGATATCTTTTAGCTGAACTTGTGTTCTTATCAAATCTGGTGCGTTTCATTGATCGGCGGTAATCAGGACAGTCGGGTGGCATGTCAAGTGTTGCTCGGCCTTCAGCCTATGAGGAACAGTAAGAAATGTTAAAAGTCGAATCAGACTCAAGAATAAAGTAAAATACTTACAATTTCTTTGGCCCATACAGAGCACGCTTCAAAAGAGAATCGATATTTGAAGTTCGGGTCCCAGGGGGATGTCAAAACTGCTCCATCTCCGCCAGCAGTGCCGGTCTGCCCATAACGTTCAACTAATTTGTTTGAGGCCGTATAACGGGCCAACATCTTCTTTTGTTCCTAATGATGGAAACCAAAGAGATCAGAGGGGTGAGCTAAAACATATGAAACCAAGTACCCTCACCAAGTTCTCCTTGATCAATTCTTGATTGTGAGATGTTTTGTTTCCCGCCGTGTCCTTTGCAATAAGCCCATCGGCCGCCTCATCCTGGATCAGTTGTGAGGAAATTTAGTATGAATATAGTTTTGATAGGTGAGTGAAAATATCGGCTCACATTATCAACTTGTTTCTTTTTTTGGGCTTCGTTTGGGCTACAGATATCTAATTCGCCAGTGCGTGATTTCGAGCGATCGAGGCAAAGCACAAACTCCTGCCAATCCTCAAACGAATCGAGGGGTAGTTTTTTCTTGCCAATGGTTGCCTTCCATATCAAGCCTTGGGCGAGGTGACCGTTCAGTACCACTTCTTTCATTCCAGTCTTGATTTCATTGACTGCGTCACCACACAGAGCCTTGAAGTCATTTAAGCTCTTGCCAAATAAGCAGGTCTTGATGGAACGTCCCGATCCATTGTGAAAGTGTCGGGAATCGACTGTCTTGATCGTCTTTTTCGGAGCCTTCTTTGTCCCCCCTATACGGACACATGGCTGCTCTTTGGTTTCCTCAAAACTGATCTTGAAAGCGATCCGTACAGTCACTTCATGCGCTAGGTCAAATCGAGCACGGCCTGCAGTTCCCGGACGTTCCAGCAAGTTATCGCCAGCCTGACGAGCTGGCGCATCATGTCCATTTCGTAAGACAGGGGGGTCTTCAAAGACTGAGAGATGGGGAAATCAGTACAACTAATGAGCCAGAGCAAAGATAAAACACTCACTACCATTCATCCACCCTTGCATATTATTGACTTCTGTAGACATGACTTGTATAGAGAAAGATATGAGGATTTTGATTTGATAGGATGAGAATTTTAGTGAAAAGAAAGATTGTGATACTGGTTGTAGAACTATTGGAAATTGAAATCCTAGAGGAAGAAAGAATTGAGGGTAGCTGGCCGGAGGGAATCTCAAGGGTAGCCTTGTAGGAACCCTTTCTGAACATCGGTCAGAGCTGGTATATAGGATCTGGTGGCGCTTGAATTGTTTGGGTCCCTACATTGCAAGGTGGCTTTGATGAAAGCAAGATGGAGATCTGGGATCTTTTGATTTGTCGAAAGATCCATGCAAATCAAAAGATCCATGATCATATTGAAAAGTCTTTTGACTTGGTTTTTGCCCCTTTGCCCAGGTATTAGCTGCTGCGGCGGCGATTTTTCTTCAAAAAAAATTGCAACCTTTCTTGGATCGGCTGTAAGATCCCATTAATTTGCTCTGCCTCGTTCGAGCCAGCCACAAAAACACCAAACAATTGACCTGCGAGTCATCCTGCTCGCCTACTTTTAAGTTTTACAAATTTCCTGCAGCCAGAAATACGTATTGTAAGACTCATTTTTGTAAGTACATGTTGCCGATGACAGGTACAACTTCTTCTATCTTACAACCCCAAAAGTTCTCCCTAGGACGAGGCTGGAGAGCGATGGATGAATTTTACATCCTCATACATCGTGATTCTTTGTGCATCTTTCGTCACCTTCTGTATCTAATCTTCCGCAATTTGTCAGTTGGAATAATTTAATGCTCTCTAGTGTGGGTCAGAACGCGGATCGTAATGAGTGAGGTACCTGTGAAGAAGAGTATATGAGCTTTACTCCCACCGTTGATCCTTAAGATACGCTATCAACCTGCGCCAGGTCAAACGGGTGGATTGATTGGCTAACGGATGCCAGGTGAACCCAGCAAGTTGATGTGCCAACCAACGGCAGGTCATTGAAAACGTGTCTCTCAGTAAGGCCGTTTCTACCTACAGTCACTCAGCACCCGCGTTTCAATGAGATTTGAAGCATGGCACAGAGGCACCTTGATGAAATGAGTGACCGAGCGTAACTTTGTTTCCTGGGGGCACATTCACCACCAATTGATGCCTGTTGACGTCTAAAGGAAGAGTAAGCTCCATTGAACTTAACCCTCGTCACATCGTTGTATGATAAGCTTAGGTTCGTCTATCTATATACATTAAAAGCATGACTTGATTTGGCTACTAGGATTCGGAATCTAAGCGTAAATCTAGTCCGATCGCAAAGGTGCAAAATCTTATGAGATACATATTGTTTATTAAGTGAGGAGAAGAAGGCAACACCTGACTTTCAACGCTTGTGGTTTGGTGATTGATCTGAAGAAGTAGCTCACAAAAGTGATCCAACCTGCCACGACAAAAGCCCATGAAACCGAGGAACAGTTGCCTTATAAAGCGCAGTGTGTAATTGATTGCTGCCAAAGGTAAATCTACATAGCATACAATTACAGAGATAAGAACCCTATATAAAGGACTTGAACTCTTCTCTTCAGTTTCGCTTCTCCACCTCCCCCTCTTTTTCCTTGAAACCCGTTCAGAATTACATATTCAATTCATCCGTTTCAACTTCATCACCTATTTTGTCAAGTTCAATCCTTCTTCTTATAAGTAATCAGTCATCATCATTTATCAAAGAACGCCACTGGTACATATCTCACTATGACCGAAAGCTTGATCGTTCGTCCATCGGCCCCTGGCAGGTTAGCTTTCTACACCAGTTTCAACTTGATTCATACTCAATCTTCCTTGCTACTTGCCTGCCCGATTTGACTTTCTCTCAACTTTTCCTTTATAGTGCTGGTCAACCCGTCACTGTCACTGTCAACGCCTACAAAGTCACTCTTCCTAGCAGAATCATCCACCATTATGATGTGAGTATATAGCCTTTACTTTGCTTTCAGTCTAGTCATCTTATCATAGTCTTCAAATCATCTCCCCTAGGTTGCCGTCGATGGTGTGGTTGGAAAAAACGGTACCGTCGGAGACGTGCCTCCGAAATTCGGCCGTGAACTGTTCACGTTCATGAGGGATAACTTGAAAGCATTTGGGAAGGCTGCCGTGGTTTATGACGGCCGCAAGAACTTGTACTCACCCGAAAGATTCAACTGGCCAAATGACTGTCAATCGGTCAGTTCCAATGTTTTTCAAGTGTGTAATTAACCGCTGACCATGACCATTAACCGTGTCTTATCCAGCTCTCAGTTGACATGACCACTGGCAAAAATTCTCGGAAATTCACCGTCAAAGTGAGCGGAACTTCTTTTACGCGCAATGTTATCAGTCGATTCTGAATCAAAGCCACTCTTTATCCATCCTGCGCGTAGCTTAGCAAAGTGTCCGATATCAAATTGGACAACTTGGTCAAATACGTCAATCGTCAGGTTGGCTCCACTCCTGATGAGGGCGTTTACAATGCAGTGTGAGCTCGATTCTGTCGTCATCTCGTCCATTTACAACTTTTCTGATATTTTTCTTCTGTACAGCAATGCTTTGAATGTCTTGTGCAATCATGACTTGATGATGCTGCACCCCAATGCGAAGAACAAGTTCTTCCCGGAACCTGAGAAAGAAGGGCCCCAACTTAAATACCTCAAGGGGGCTATTGAGATGTGGAGAGGTTACTTTTCGTGAGTTGATTTCAGGTCTGGTTCTTGTGTCTTCGTGTAGTTTTTGATCCCCTCCTTACCTCTCGGTATCCAGTTCTATCCGGATGGTGCCTGGCGGAGCTATTTTGAACTTTGATTTGACTTCTCAACCGATGATCCGGGCCGGTAATTTGATCGACGTAGCCGCGGACATCGCTGGCACCAATACTGCCGGTCTTGTAAAACTTCGCCCCCAACAGCTCACCCAGCTCACTCGCGCGCTCCGCGCGATCAGAGTCACCGTCAAGCGTAGTGATGGAACCAAGTTCAGGGCAAAGGTCAGAGAGTATGGCCCTCTCACAGCCAGAACCCACAAATTCACCGTCGAAGAAGCTGGAAAACCTCCCAGAACGACCACCGTCCAGCAATTCTTCCAAGAGCATTATGGAGTAACTTTGCGTTCACCAGATTTACCAGTCATCAAACTATCTGCCAAGGCTTGGTATCCTATCGAACTGTGCGACGTCGACCCTGGCCAGAAGTATATTAAAAAACTCGAACCGGATCAGTTGGCTGATGCCATCAGATGGCTCACAGTCAAACCTTACGACCGAACCCAGATGTTATCAGAAGGAGTCGCCAAACATTTGAGAACTAGTGTATCGTCAGTCTTTCTGGATAGAACCCTTGTAGTGGTGAATGATGTCTGATGACATTCATCTTTGTAGGCCCGTTCAATGGGGACTCAGATTTGATCCCCAACCCATGACTGTCAAGGCCCGTCGCCTTCCCCCTCCTACTGTCAACCACATGGGCAAGTCGGGTAAAAAGGAATCTACGCGTGTTGATAATGGAACATGGAACATGGCCAACAGAAAGGTGAGTCCTCAAACAGTTCTTACCCTCACGTAGATGAATCTAACTGGTGGGTCACTACTGCTTGGACGGCCGGCGGTTGTTCCATCTAGGTCTTCAGCCCCGCACCTCCTATCAAAAACTGGTGAGAAGCAGCACTTAAGGCTTGATGTTAGTTCCTACACTGTTGGTTGGCTGACAGCTGTACTTTTCTCGCGTCTAGGATTGCTGTAGTGTTTGGTGCAGGTGGGCGGTTTGATCAAGCCACCGCCCAAAAATCGCTTTCCGACTTGAGAAGCAGCATGATTGCCGCCGGTCTTACTGTGGAAAGTGGTCCAGCAGCCGTATTGCCCGCCCTTCCCAACGACTCCCCAATGCCCAACACTGACGGCAAAGACGACAACGTTGGAAAGTGGATCATGTCCAAGCTCAAGCAAAAGCCACAGTTGATCGTGTGTTACCTCAGAGACAAAAACGCGTGGCAATACAGACAGGTAATGACAACCCCGACCATGTTCCCCTCATATTTTGACACCTGCTCGAGCTGACTAAAGCTGCTTACTCAACTGATCAGCTCAAGATCTTCGGCGATACAGCTCAAGGTGTACCTAGCCAATGTATGGCCATTGAGAAGATCATTGGGAAAGGCAATGCTCAGTATTATGCGTAAGTTGAAGGATGTTGTCTTCTTTTCCGCTGCATTAGACTGACCCGAAATCTGCTGCGTCAAATCCCTTATCAGTAACGTGACTTTGAAGATGTTGGTCGCCCTCTCGTCTTGCTTGCTTCAAGAAAACCTGTCCACCTTTACTCATAGATTTTTGTCTTTAGCAACGCCAAGTTAGGCGGAATGAACCACGTTCTCGGATCGGCTGCTCCTTTCCTCATGAACCCTCCAACCATGGTCATGGGTTTGTCTGTTTCGTCTTGAACATAGTAATAAACGGTCTTTATACTGACTTCCCATCTCATCTGATTCACAGGAGCCGATGTCACCCATCCCGGAGCAGATTCCCTGGAACCTTCCATTGCCGGCCTGGTAGCATCCACCAATCAGCATGGATTGGGCTATGCAGCTGAATTCTCGGTTCAGGCCGGACGGCAGGAGATCATCGGTGAATTAGACACCTTGGCTCTAGTTAGTGCAGCCTCATCCATCTTCCTTTCTTGCCTTTGTCACTATCGTCTTGCTGACATGAATCGCTCGATGTTGCTTTGGCTTGGTATCCAGAAATTGTTACAGAAGTACCATGACCGCAACGCTGTACTTCCTAAGCGTATCGTTTTCTACCGTGATGGAGTGAGCGAAGGGCAGTTTCCTCAAGTTATTGAAAAGGAAGTGCCACTCCTCCGCAAGGCCATCGGTGCTGTTCAAGCGAACTCGGCCCTCAAGGTCAGCCGCAGTGCCCCAATTTGAAGTTGACTACCAAAATATACATATTGCTGATCATACAACATACTCAGAAAGCGCCTGGTGGACCAATCACCCTCACATTCATTGTCTGCGGAAAACGTCATCACTTCAAATTTGGCCCCCAAAACCCCTCCAAAGACGGTGACCGCAACGGTAACCTGTTACCCGGTATCGTTGTAGACACGGTACGACTTTTCAACGTTATTTTTGTTTGTAAATGCCATTGACAGTCAGTTCATCACTTCAGGGTGTAGTCCATCCTTTCGACTTTGATTGGTACGGGCTAAGTCACGCCGGGTTATTGGGCACGTCCCGTTCCGCACACTATACCGTCTTGATAGACGATGGAAAACACACGGCGGATGCTCTTCAAACGGTTTGTCATTCTCGCTTCCTCACATCTTATCCTGCACGACTTTCATTCGACCATTCATGCATGTCACTGATCGTGTCGCGATGCTCTTGCAATTTTTTAGTTGACCTACCATTTGTAAGTCGATCTCTCTCCTCAACATATAGACCTTTGCTGAAATGTCTCTCGCATAGATGCTACCTATACTCGCGCGCCACTCGATCTGTTTCAATCGCCACTCCTGCGTACTATGCTCACCACAGTAAGTGCGAATTGCCATTTCCCCTGCGTCTCCCTTTCAATCATCACTCCTCAATCTGACGTCCTGGCCACCTTTAGTTTGTACTCGCATCAAACAATTCTTGAGTACAGTTGACGTTCACCAAGGAACCAGTAGCACACCCACCCAAGTTGATGTTGACCGCGCCTTGACTGAGTATCGAAACCGTGCTGCGCAATATAAAGCAGGCTTCGATTCCGTTTATCAGGTCAGTTTATGTATCTTACTTGTCATAGTATTGATGATTTACTAAACCGTCGTCTTCTTCCTTGAAACGTCGTTTTGCAGAAGGCGCGTGCTACCAACCCGGTCCCCGAATACTGGATGTGAACGTTAACTCATGAACCTGTGGTGTCGACTCCGCGATCCGTTCTGGGCTCATGGTCCTCTGTACCACTTTGCATCCCGTCTATTGCGACATTTTTCAAATCTATCTCTCTGTCTCTTTTTCTCAATTTCAATCTGCTACATGAGGCAGATACAATGTCGGGGGTTTCTCCACCATTTACCATCGCCTGCCTCGTGTATCTATTCATCCGTCAGTATATGAGTCTGCGTTTGTGTTTGTGTGGAGTAGTATGTACCCGCTTGAGGTTGATACCCCGTGTTGCCTCAATGCTCATTTCTTGAATGTGTACCCAAACAAGATGGACCTACTTATGCAACCCCACTCAAAGGAACAAGAAATCATTTTTAGTAGTGGTGCATGACAATGCAACAGAGTTGACCTAAGAATATCCCCCATGGAGTGCCAATCTTGACGTACGTCGGAAAATACCAGTACGGGCCCTGACCCCTTGCAATTGAAGTTTCCTGCATGCTCTCTAGTGTTGTGCGGCTCCAAGACTTGCATGTCAAAAGGACTCAAAACCCTCCCACAAATCAACCACCTGAGGATCCCACTGATTTTCTATAAGTCCACATAAGAATTTCCTTCAACTTATGACCCACTCTTGCGACTGCCCCAAATTCCCAAAACTGTTGAACTCATGTCAGGCGGCAATCATTTTCACCTTATTTCAAGCTTTGTGTACTCAGCCACTAGCTAGCCTAAACTTTGGCTTCACCACCTTTATCCCAAACTTGACACAAATTCTACCATGCAGAAGTACACAGTAGCCCAAAACTGAGGCACTAGACTTGTGCTCTATATAACATCCCTTGCATGATAAATAGCCTCGAAAAGGCAACTTTAGGAGTTTTGTAAATGGAATCCATCCTCACTGCCAGAATTTTCCTTCAATTTCATTTCTGGAACTGACTCCTAGGAGATCCTATACTTTTAGATAATTGAAGCTCATTAAAAATCATTAAAACTAATGATTTCTACTCTCCAAAAGACTTTCTCAGGTTAAGAGTACAACAGACATCATTAAAAAGAAGAGCCTCATAATATGAGAATCGACTTGTGCTTTCTTTGTTTTTCAATGAGGGTCTCATCATTTGTATCATGTAGTGAATCGTTTGCATTCATTTTATTTGTGTATAAGTTCAACATTATCCTCAATTGGAAGGATCAGAAGCTATGTAAGTGATGCAGTTTGGTCTTCCTCACCTGTCTCATCGGGCCTTTTCGCCATATTCGATAAGTATGGCAAGAACCAGAAATAATGAAAAAAAATGGATCTCGATGCAGTGTGATCACTTGGATTTGCTTAGCCTTCGGCCCATTGATGGTGTTGCAATTACACTACAAGCCTCTTAACACGCAAAGAAATTTAACAGGATTTGACGAGTATCATTTAGACTACATGAAACCCTTGTTCAATTTTCATTTGGGTCAGCTTACGCAGAGATAAATCAGATAGTATAGCAGCAATTGGATGATGGAGCTTTAAATCCTCAACCCGACTTCAACCCCCATGTGCCTGGATCTCCTTGTCCAATTCTGCGCTACAAGCCTGAGGATTATCACCTTGGCCGTCTAGATATCCAAGAAGAAAAGGTGCCCAGAAAGTGCCGGCAGGCGGGAGTGGGCCCAAGCTCTGTAACAAAGTATTTGTAGATCAGTTGAGCATCACGCCGTCATTGAAAAAGATTAGAATTCTGACATACAGTACCAGCGGGGATCACGTAATTTACGCAATCTGGTTGGGTGGGCGACACCACTGTTTGAGTGAACCTATAGTTATAGGCTGCGTTAATCGAATCCTGGGCGATGCTTGGAGCATTTCTGTAAAGTAGACCACTTTGTTAGAGATGCTTCAATGTACTATCCTTGTCACCAATACCTATACATACCCGTTAATACCCCCCACCGGGTTTTCAGAGCCATCGAGAGGCTTGACCTGTTGAGAAACCCATGATTCAGCTCGTTGAGCCCATGGGATTTATCCAGACGGATGCTGGGTAATGAACTCACTGTACAAGTGCGACAAATGACGCAGCCTGGTCGAGGAGCTGGAGCACTATACAAGTAATCTATAGCACTGTGTAAACACGGTCGGCAAATGCGTTGATCAGTAAGAAGTTAGAATTGATCGTTTCAGGATACGAAGAAAAACTAACGCGAAGCAATCTGCCGCATTTCCTGCTGATGATTTATATTTCGTGCTGATATAACAGGTCATATTTGCCGTCTGTCTTTTTTCAAGAATAGTAGGTTGGTGAGACTCCTCAGATACGAAGGATCGCACCGATACTCGACCATCTGCGTTTGCTTGACCAGAGGTGAAGAACTGAGAAAGAACTATAAGTGATACAAATTTTTTCATGTTTTGTGATAAAGAATGGTCAATTGAGCATAGATTTGTAAGGGGTTATATTCGGCTCATGGGAGGAAGACCAGCTGGTTTAAGAAGGCACGCTTTTATAGCTCTTGCAAGGGTATTTCATACAAAGAAATCGACGTCGAAGTCAAACTGAACCAAGACTCACGCTAGAGTGAGTACCTTTGCAAACAGCTTGTTTGGTGTGCGAGACACGGCGTGAAAGTTCGTTGAGTTCAGCTTCGCCCGGTTTTGTCACTCTCGCAAGTTGTCAGACGCGACCGAAGCGTGTGAACAGCATAATTCACTTCAAGAGATGTCGTGACGTCGAAATGAGAGATGTCGTGAGTCCGAAAGGACTTGCCTGTCAGTCGAGGGTGTGTTGTAGTCACATGATCTTGTACACGACTGCGGCACAGACATCACGTGACGCAGTCAACAAAACTCTGTCTTGTCGAAATCTGAGATTCCACATCATTGTGGAATCCAAGATATTTCTTGCTTATGCGTTGTTTTTCACTTTCTTTATTCACTATATTCACTATAGGTTATGAGCCTGCGTAACCGCTGCTCCTACGTCTTACGATACGCTCACCAAGTGAATGGAAACTAGACGACGAAACTATACAACGCACCCGAGATCCCCTCTCGGGGTGTAAGGGCTCTGGTCACCGTCTATGGTCTGGTTGAGACAACATGATCAAGAGTCAATATTGGAATTATGAAGAGACCATTTTCTTCAAGACTCATATGTAGGTATGGTATTGTTTTTTTATCAGAAATACACTTGTGAGTTGTGGTGAAAAAGTAAGGTGAGAAAAACTTCCAACAAAAGGAGGCTATTGGACATTCAATCATTCAGATTTAATGTACAAGCCCCCATTCTTTTTTGTTCTTGGGTTAACTTGGGTTTCTTTGATTGTTTTTATTTATTTCAAGAAGTTAGAATCAATAAGGTATATTTAGTTCTTTTGAGTTTCCAAATTTTGGGAAGCAAAGCTTGACCATGATAAATAAAACAGAATGCAAAAGAAGTTCCAATGTAGTGCTAAGTTCATCCTTTCTCTCAAAAAGCTATCAATTTTTCATAATCACAAACAAAACTTTGTAATCTTGAAGCCTGAAGGTCTAAGAAAATTTATTGTTTCCCCAAGGGGTTTTTTGGGAGGATAGGTTTGGATGAGTCACCCAAACCAATGCTCTGAACCCAACAACATTTGTCATGGTGAACATGATCCAGGAGTGTACTTATCATCAAAAGAATTGTATGGGTCTGATGAAGTTTGATGAGACTGATCCCGATAAGGAAGCCAATGGGTTGTTGGGTTTCACATGACACAAGGTCACACTCTGACTCAGCCACCTCGGGGTGTCCTTTTCTACCACTCGAAGCGGGCCTAAGAATGAACAATACAGCCGTTTCGAGCGGCTTTCCCCCTATCTCGTATCCATCTCGTTCTCCTCCCCATCTCGGTGACCTCAAACGCGCCAACGTTTTTTATTTTTTTATTTTTTAATACATACGACATCATCTATGTAATCCAAAACATCAAATGTCCTGTACCCGACCACTCGAGCATGAGACCACCCGGACACACTTGAGCAATCGGACACTCAAACACTCAAAGTTCCTACTATAGGCAAGTCACACCACATAATCATCTTTGACTTCAGCATCCCACAACGTAATCCAAAATACTAACCACCACATACTTCAGTCATCCCAAATTCAAGACTTGAGGATAATACTTCAGTCATCCTAAATCACGACTCGACAATGGGGGCGCCGTGAACTC